CGTATCCAAACGTAGAAATTGTATTTAGAATCTTTTTGACGATGCCTGTAACTGCAGCTACATGTGAGCGTAGCTTTAGCAAACTCAAGCTCATCAAAAATTATTTGAGATCAACTATGGGCCAGGAGAGACTTTCAAATTTATCTATTTTGTCAATAGAAAATGAAGTGGCTGGGGAAATAAATTTTGAAGATGTCATAGATGAATTTGCGGCAATCAAATCCAGAAAAGTAAAATTATGAGATTTATTTTTTTGTATGTCAATAATATTGTATGTCTATATATTACATGCTCTTTTAATAATCAAATATATATAATAGTTTAACATTTTACAAATGATGATTTTTTTTTTTTTTTTGACGGAAGGGGGTGCATATACTCAAACTTGCCTCAGGCGTCAACTGAGCTTGTTACGGCTCTGACTCTGTACTTTGTCTACTCTGTAGTCTATACTACTACGGTCCTCTTAGTATACTATTGTTAAAACATCCGATTTATATTACCTAGCTAAATATTAAAACAAAAACGCTATCATGAGTAGAACAATGTCGAACCCACTACTAAAAATGTACTTTAAGGTTAACATTACCACAAACGAAAATTTTTGCCAAATTCCCAGCTGTGTTAACCCTATTCGGACAGGAAGTCACTTGGGTAATTTAGAAAATCATGTTAAACTGTTTCATAAAAGCGAATATATTTTACTTATTAAAGAAAAGGAGAGATTGGCCAAATGTACTTCAAAAAGAGAACTACTTGATGGTAATTTCAATTCTACGGTTCCAAAAGTAAGTAGTTTATAATATTATTTAAATATTTTATGTATATTATCTAGGGAAGTACCTATTACAGTCGAGTCTCGATAACTCGAATTTCAAGGGATATAAAAATAAATTCGACTTATGTATTTTTCGAGTTACATAACTCGAATTATTTTAAAAATACGAAAAAATTCGAGTTAGACATTTTTTTTTTTAATTTGTTTTTATTAGAAGTATTATATGTATATTTTAATATTTATAAACTACAATTACAATTAAAAAATTAAATTTTAAAACTCATTTCCTTATTTATTAATTAAAAATGTATTAAAAGATTACATTTTAAAACACAAAATATGTAAATTTCTTACAATTATTTAGAAAAATAATTTGAAATAAGAGTTTGACGTTTGGGTTGTTTTAAAATAAAGTCTTCAATGTCCCCCAAGTACTTGAAAAGTATTTCATCTGCACCTTCGGTTTTTTCAATGAATACTCTTAATTTATCAAGTGATGCTTTCGCTTCTTTTGTAGAGACAACTAATGGATATTCATCCTCTTCATCTGAGTCGGATTTAGGAGTCGGTTGCACTGCGTCTACAATGTCTTGATCACTTAATACACCAGTTGTATGTATCAAATTGTACACGCTACACAGCGAAGATATACGGCAACTGCCGATTATGTTACAGCACAGTTGTACATAGGATAATTTTATTTGTACATTTGTGATTGTAAACCGGTTATTCTAACAATAAAATGTAAGAAATGACTTCGAGTTATCTATGCTCCACTATTTTTATATTTGACTTATCGCGACAAATATTGCATTGAGTGTATAGGAATTTCCTAGGGACAAAAAAAAAAATTCGATTTATCGAGGTTTTCGAGTTATCGAGACTCGACTGTATTTATGTAATATTATAATATGAAGTTAGGAATCGATACCGTGATTTTCTGTTTTTGTCTAACACACACGTGGCATAGGATTTTAGACAGGTTCTTTGCCAAACATACCAATTGATCTAATGAAGCAATAAGAATTCTATTAACAGATTTGAATTAGTCGTCAAGTTTACTTGAAATCGACTTTCCTAAATTTTAAATTTTTTGATTTTAACTTCTCTAAAAATTAAAATACGATAATTTTTAAATACTCTTTTTTAATATGACATTTTTAGGAATTTGGGGGATAATATCAAACATGTGGGAAAATCGATTTGAAGTAGACTTGACGGCAAATTCAAATCTGCTTTCAGAATACTTATCGGTTCAATATATCAATAAATTGGAATATTTGGCAAAAAACACGTCTAAAATACTATGTCATGCGTGTGTTAGACAAAAATAGAAAACCACGGTATCGAATCCCCTTAATTAAACGATGATGTATTTTAAATTTATCTAGATATCTTAAACAATTCTATCTTTTACCTGATAAAAAATACTTAAAATCAGGGCTTGCCTATTTTACCTATTTTACCGTTTTTACCTATTCTAGAAACCAAAGATTGGACCACTTGATAGTATGATTATTGTTACAAAAAATACATTATCAAATGTATCATTAAACAAACAGAAATTAATTGAAGCTTGTGTACAACTAGTGACAGTTAATGGAAGACCTTTTAATCTCATGGACGCTATAGGTGGAGGTAAGCATTATTTTAGTCAATAGGTCACAATTTCAACTTTTTTGTTAGGAGCATTCTGGGTTCATCAAGAATGGTGGGATGAGACAGTTCTTAGATCAGGTAGTTGTGATGGTTGTGGAGGTAGTATTGTTATAGACTATAGTAATATAACTATAGAGTGTAGATTATAAATTAGCTAATAAATAAAATAGCTCCTATTACAATGATTTATAAATTTATTACAAAATTTGTAGTTTTAAAAAAAAATATGTATTTTACAGCCACATCCAACTTTATATTTGTACCCACATTTTTAGTTCATAAACTCATATGTTTTAGATCTTCTTTGATAGTTTTTTAGAGTGCACATAAATCTGAGCCCTAGAGATTGTTATAATATATTGTTTAAAACTAGTGTTAAAATATGAATTCTAATTTCTAAATTATATTTTTATAGTTTATTGTTTATATATTTTGAAGTTATTGTGGTTATACTCATGGTTATAAATATTACTATTACCTACATAGGTAATGTCTGTAAGTTTTTACTGTGGTTACCTATAAAGTAGGTATTAAAAACTATCTGTTAAACTTATTGGCCACAGTTAATTATAAATCTATAGGCTATAGCCTATAATAAATAGTAAATACATATTATTAATAGGTAAAAACTATATAAATTATAAATACGAATAAAACAACATGATATAAATTATTTACAAAACTTGTTAGGTTTTTATGAAACTATGTATTGCACATTCTAGAAAATGTTTAATTCAAATTATTTTATTTAATGGTATCTGGCTACGTTTTTTAATAAATATTTATAGATTTCAGGATTAACTCTAGAAATATAAGATAATTTATTGATACTCGATATAAATGCCGCTTTGCTGATTGGACTGCCGTTTCCCACAGGCCTCCGAAGTGAGGCGCTGCTGCTGGTATGAATTTCCACTGGATGGCGTTAATGCTTAAGTAGTCATTTACAGCTTTGTCTTTTCGATGTGCTTTAAATTGAGATTGTAATGCTCGATCAGCACCAACGAAATTTGTGTCATTGTCACTCACTATACAGGTGAAATTTGTCCTCGCCGAGCCATGAAACAGAAGAGTGTGGCAAGAAAATCTTCTGTTGTTAATGAGGAAACCAATTCTAAATGTATTGCTCTTGTTACCATACATACAAACACACATATGTAACTTTCTGTTGGTGTGACTCTTCTAAGTCCACTTCTGTTTTCGAGAATGCCCGACTAATGGTGACTCTTTCACGTGGTAACGGGGCCATCACTGGCCTTTGAGGTGTTTAATCGATCGTCAACACTGCCATCAGATTTCATTGAACGCATATAAACACAAGCTCCGAATGCTTCTTGGGAAGCATCACTAAAGGCATGGAGCTGAATATTTGACGAAGGAGACATCATGACCTTCCTAGGAACGATCACCTGATTTAAGTACTGCAAACTAGTATACAATTTTGTCCAACGATTTTGTAAATCTTCAGAGAGCACCTCATCCCAGCTGATTTTTAATGACCACAATTGCTGCAAGAAAATTTTTCCTCTGATTAACACGGGAGACAACAAACCAATTGGATCAAACACCTTACTGATGTCAGATAAAAGAGATCGTTTTGTCATTCTGGCTACTGGACACCATTGTTTAACTAGAAATAGAAAATTGTCTGAGGCTGGGTGCCTATAGAAGACCCAATGTCCCTATTGTGTCATCCTCGCTCATGTTTATGAGGAAATTGCTGTCGCTTTGTTGTTGTAGTATGAGATCAATAAGTTGGCGGGAGCTTGAACACCACTTTCGGAGTGGAAATGCATATTGCATTAGAGTAGAATGCAGCTGGTGGTAGATATTGTGCACTGCTTCTATTGACTCTCCACCAGGGGCGTCATTTCAACTTTTTGAAAGGTATGCTAACATCAGGGCAGGCCAAAAAAATTTTCAGCAGGCCAATATATATTATTATATAGTAGGGGAGACTGGGGCAGATTTGATCATATTTTGGTTTTTAATTTTTTTAATTTTAATTTCTTTTTAAACAACGCCCAAAATAGTTTTGTTATTTAAAGTAACTTCTTGGGAATATAATTTGATATTTACACTAACTAACTTTTATTTTTACCCAAAATAAACATGATTTTTTAAAACAATATTTTTGTTCAAATGTACCCCATATTAGGGGTACTTTTGAACAAGCATGGGGTACTTTTGAACATAGGCAATTTTCTTTGATAAAATTAATTAACACATTTAAAGAAACTATGTTTTTACTAAAACTCCATAAAAATATTTATATGTTTATAATAAAACAGAAACTCAACAAAACTTAATATATATATTGATTAAAGTGGTAAATAATATACCTAAAATAAAAAAAAAAGATAACAATTGAAACTTAAACAATTTTCTTTATACAAAACAATATTAACTTAAGTAGATAGGTACCTACTTATTAAAACATTCCTAAATGACTCTTAGCAAATAAAAAATACAGTACCTATTAATCCTTAAAAAATTGTTACATATTATTAAAAAGACCTTGTAAAAAAACATATTTTCATTATTTAAGAAACATTATTAAGTATTAACCCATTTTGTATTTTGTAAAGTCAATACATTCAAATTTCAGAAAAAAAGCAGATCGTTCACTGCCCCCAACAGGTTTTGGCTTTGGCAAAATTTTTTCTATAAAACTCTGAGGTATATTATCAATTTCCTGTTCTGCAGGATAGTAAAAAGTATCTCCTATTTTTCTTTTCAAAAAAGACACTGTGATATCTACATTGTTAATATCTTCAACACAACCAACAAAATATTTATAGAATTTTTTACCTTCATACTTAACCAATACAAAATCCCCAAAGTAAACAGGACAATTTAAATCTTCATCATCTGAATTATCATTTAATAAAATCATAGGAGTATCGTTTTCATCAGTATCAGAATCAATACTAAAGAGTTTCTTTTTAGGATTTTTTTTCACTTTTTTAGATGTACTTAAATTTGGTTGTGAGTTATATTTCTTTTTGTTTTTTGTTTTATCAATTCCTGGATGTTTCCGTTTTAATCTCTCATGTGTATCTTGTTCAATTCGGTTTTTTTCTGGAGTTTCGGTTAATATCCTAGCTTTTCCTTTTTTTCGGCACCCTTTTCTTTCAACACGAGGTGCAGCTTTAGGAAAAGGTCGTACATGTTCTGGTGATATAACTTCTTCATGTATCGATGAATCTAATTCTACACTTGTCACAGGATTTTCATTAATATTAGTGCAATATTGTTCAGGAATACAATGTATTAAAAGATCAGTAGAAGTAGGAACTTGTGTTTGGGAATTTATCACATCAAATACATTTTCATTTGGTTGGTTATTGCCTGAAAAACTAATATCTGGTTGAATTTGTAAATTTTCAGTTTGAGTGGAATTTGGGTCAGGTCTATCTGTAACATAAGCTGCAAGAAAATCATCTTCGCTAAATGCTAATCTTGAAAACGGCCAGATCCCAGGCTTGGCAAATGCATTAACAATATTTTTTACTGAAAACGATTCTACAAAAGCTATTTTAGTTAGGCTTGGTAAATCATGAATTCTAATAGTTTTTCCAGGATTATTAGTAAGCCAGTCGTTTTGTGCATTTTTAAGTTTTGTTTTAAATGGACCAAATACTCCAACATCAAGTGGTTGCAACTTATGTGTACAGTGAGGGGGAAATGTTACCAACACAATACCATTTTCTTTTGCATAACTTACAGCCTCAAGTGAACAATGAGACTCATGGTTGCCCATTAAAAGTAAGATTTTGTCTTCTTTAGTACACCTAGTATGATTTTTAATATGTTCAAGCACTTTAACAAAAAGTACTGAATTTATCCAAGCACTTTGTGTTGAATTAGGATTTAGGAAGTCCTAAGCTTCCCTCAATAGCTCCAATCATAAGAAGATCACTCATTCTTACTCTAGGGAATATGAAAACTGGTGGCAATGATTGACCAACAGCATTAATAGTCATGCATGCTGTTATCATTTGACCACGTTCTGCAGAGACATTTTGTCCAACTTGTCGAACACCGTTCTGAGCCACAACATTAGGTGGATCAACTACTGTACTTACACCAGTTTCATCAATATTATATATTATATTATATATTCTACCTGGTGTTACAGGATACTTTTTCAAAGCTTTCTCATATAAATCAAAAAAAACCGTAACATTAGTTTTGTTAAAAGAAGTAGCTCGAGACAGACTTGTTTTTTCGGGTTTTCTTATTGATAAACTAGGGTGGAGTTTCATAAAACAATAAAGCCAGTCATTGCCTGCAGTTAGATTTAGTTTCCAAGAATCTGGAATTTTTAAAGTTACTTTTACTGCATAGTCATAAGCTAGTTTCCTAATCTGAACCAAAGTCATGCCATAATTTATTTGAGAACACCTTAAAATGTATTTCACTAACATATTTTCTTGTTCTTTACTAAATATTTGGTTAACAGTATACTTGGAGTTAAAACGATTTTCATCAGGACTATTTTGTATTATACCCTCTATATTTTTCAGCTTTTTAATTCTATAAAAAAGAGTTGTATGCCTTATTCCAAATTGCTGGGCAGCATCACGGTAACCAATATTCCCTTCTTTATATACCTGTATGGCAGCTTGTATATTAGCTTCCATTTCATTTTCATCTCTTTTAATTTTTTTAACATAATTTCTAACCATTTCGACTAAAAAAGAAAAAAATGTACCTATATTATGATGTTCAAAACTTCCCCATTATGCCATGTTCAAAACTACCCCAACAGCAAACTTAACATGAAAACAATTATTCAATTTTCATAGACAATGTCCAATGAAAACCATTAGTAGAGTTGGAAAGAGCGTTAAATTTACTATTGGTCTCACTAATAACAACGTACCTTGTATTAATTAAATTTGAGTATTATACTTAAATTCGATCGTTAAAAATGATAAGAAAAATTACAAGATTTGATTTTTTTGATAATTTTATTTGTACCATAGATAGTGTTGATAAGTTTTAACAATCATGTAAAACTACAGTGTAGCCAACATATTACGATCTTTGTATTTTTTAATATCTTATATTTGTAGACTTATTGTAAGTGTTCAAATGTGCCCCGTGTTCAAATGTTCCCCAGTCCCCCTATATACACAATAATAATTGGAAAAAAAATTTTCTTCTCACTCCGCTCGAAAGTTAGATTTTTCTTCAATCAAATAATTTCATATAATACTAATATTATTAATATTATAATTTTATTTTCAATATCATAATTTCATACTTATAAACACTAAGGAAAACAAAACAACCAATTATATATATATAAAAAAAAAAGTGGGCAAGTGGATGTCGCTCTGCTGTACAGTAGGTTACAAGTAGGTCACTGTATAATGGATGATATTAAATTTGAATTCAATGATATAATATTATTGTATAAGAAAAACGATTCTGAGCGGAGACGGTACGTCAGTCTAGGTATAAGACATATTATATACATATCTATGATATTAAACAAAAAATTGACCTATAATTAGGTACCTACAATAAATTCTAAATTAATCATATCACAATATCCATTAGGTACTTATACCGCGTTATACATCAACAACAAACCCTGATACTATCATAGATATATAATAGTACACTTTAGAAGTTTCAAGTACACACAAATAATATTATACAATCACAACAAAATAACTAAAATAGTTATTTTAGGTTTTTTATTATGTAAATTTGTCCAAATATGAATTTAAAATGTCTGTAAAAAATAACTGTGTTCATATATTTTTTAGATTTTTTGGCTACAGTATGAACTATTTATGAGAATCTTTTTTTTAAATTTTCAATCCTTAGCTATAAAAACTGAACATTTTATAATTTATTAATTACGATGATTGATAATTTAAAACAATTTAATCACCAAAGTGTATGGTATATAGGAAATGCTAATATAAACATTCAGTGAAATTTTCATATATCTACAGTAATTCGTTTTTGAATTACAACAAAATAAGGAAATCGCTACATGAGAAATCGAGTGATTATCCAATGTTGTAAAAAATTGAATTTCAAACGCTCATAAAAATTTAATTAGACTTTCTTATAGAATTTTTTTTTTGATAAATGTAGGAAATCTTATAAGGAATCTTGTATTACATTTTCATATCTTAGAAAATTATCAATCATTGCAATTAATAAATTATAAAATGTTCAGTTTTTATAGCTAAGGATTACTAAATTTAAAACAAAGGTTCTCATAAATAGTTCATACTGTAACCGAAAAATCTAAAAAATATATGAACACAGTTATTTTTTACAGACATTTTAAATTCAAATTTGGACGAAATTACACAATAAAAAACCTAGAATAACTATTTTAGTTATTTTGTTGTGATTGTATAATATTATTCGTGGGTACTTGAAACTTCTAAAGTATACTACTATACATAATATATCTATGATAGTATCAGGGTTTGTTGTTGGTGTATAACGCGTTATAAGTACCTAATGGATATAATATTGTGATATGATTAATTTGGAATTCATTATAGGTCAATTTTTTTTAATACCATAGAGAAGTATATAATATGTCTTATACCAGTTATACCTAGAAGGACATACCGTCTCCGCTCAGAATCGTTTTTCTTATACAATGATAAAATATCATTGAATTCAAATGTAATACCATCCATTTTACAGTGACCCACTTGTAAACTACTGTACAGCAGAGCGACACCCACTTGCCCACCTTTTTTTAAAAAAAATTGTATTTAAAAATGATTATTATACATCACTTTTATGTGATCATAAAAATAATGAATACAAAGTTGTATCAAATATAAATATCGAACCTAAAAATAGCTTTTTCTTAATCGTTTTTAAATCTTTTTATCATTTTTATTTACAATTTTTATTAATATTCTTAACAAGTCATTATAATTTATAATATATTCCATTAGGTATTTGTGTTAAAAATAATACAAAATTTAAAAACTAATAATTTTCAATTATTTGGCGGTATTTTGAAATGAATCGGACAAAGTGGGGGGGGCTACATGAAGTTGGCCCCCCCAATTTTGAATTTGAGTTTACTCAAAACTGGGTGATTTGAAATGAATGAAACTCGATTTGCAATTATTTGGTGGTATTTTGAAGTCATTCGGACAAAGTGGGGGGGCAGCTTCATGTAGGTACATGTGAAAAAACCAACTATCCGGGTTCAAAATCGTCTATGAAAGTTCTTTTAAAAAATTTAGATTTCAAATACAAAAAGTGTAATGATGGACGTACATTTTTAATGGAACGAAATGACATTGTTGCTTCTCGAGTAAAATTTTTAAGAAAAATGTATGCGTTTAGACGTAATAACGATTCGAGACCAGTTGTGTACCTAGATGAGACGTGGGTAAACCAAAACCTTACCCGTGGGTACATTTGGCAAAATTCAGATAATACTGAAGAACTGAAGGTAACCATAGGGAAAAGTGGTAGACTCATTGTGTGCCATGCCGGGAATTACCCGTTTCCGCCAAAATTTGAAATGACCGATTCCGCCATCGCCCGTTTCCGCCAATCTACATGCTATGGTAAAATTCATGGCTTAAATATACAAGGTTATTGCAGTAGTACCCCCACTAAATCGTTTTATCTTGTTAAGAAATTAAAATGGCAGCGTAAGGGGCGATGTTTTGATTGGCTGTATATTATATGAATATATACATTATACATTATACAATTAAGTGATAACAATAATTGATAAAGAATCGTGACCCTTACGCTGCCATTTTATTTTATTTGATAACAATAATGGCTATGTGCAATAACCTTGTATATTTAAGCCATGGTAAAATTATTATAATATATTCCATAATACTCGGAGTATTATGCATATATTAAGCCTGTCAACAATTAAATTGATAAATTAAAATAGTAAAAATAAATTAAATATATATTTAAATATAAAATAATCACAATAATTATAAAAACATAATCACATTATCAAGCTATTAAATTATTTTTAAGGAATATTTGAGATGAGAACATTGTATAATGATAAATATATTATACTCAAATAAAAAATACATACTACTTTGTCTTACCTAGTTTTATTATAAATACAAAAATTAAAATATTTAAAAAGTCATAATATTTTGTTAATTTACAAGGTGTATCAAAAGTCTTCATCCGATTTCAGAATATTATATTTATATTAAAAATGAAGATATAAGGGTTAAATAAAGAAAAATATATTCTTAAAATAGTCAAGTTTTATTTACTTTGGTTACAAATGTTCAATATGACCCCCACCGGCCACCCGACACACATCTATACGGTAATCAAATTCTTCCCAAACGTTGCTGGTCAAATCTGGTGTCACGGCATTAACAGCATCTTTGATTCTGATTTTAAGCTCTTCCAAGTTTGTAGGTAATGGTGGTACATACACTTTATCTTTTATGTAGCCCCATAAAAAAAAAATCACACACTGTGTGGTCAGGGGAACGTGGTGGCTAGGGATGAATCGCCAAATCGTCGTTTCCTTTACGCCCAATCCACCGCTGAGGGAGTTCACCGTTCAAATACCGGCGAACTTCTAACTTCCAGTACGGCGGTCAGTGTTTATTTCAGGTGGGTGACCGGGGGGGTAATACCCCCCCGGGGAAAAATGTATACCCCCCCGAAAAAATTTATGAAATTATTAGGTCAACTACATATTGTGATGCGATAATATGTGAAACGAGTTATCGGCCGAATGTGAGTTATTTTGTGCGTCGGTTGATAATAAAATAAAATAAATGTTTAATCTAATAATTTGTTGGGTAGTACCTTTTCGTATATCAATAAATTGTACGTCAAGTGGTCAGTATAATCGATAAGGATATATTTAGATACCTTATCCGTTATCGCATGTAGATAATTTTTAAAACGTGCTGTCATTGCTGTCTTCTGTCGACTGTGTAGTGTTTTACGCGTTTACGACTACGTCAAACTGCAGTTTGGTTGATTTGTTTTAGTTTGGTTTTGTTTTAGTGTTTTTTGGCCAGTAATTATGTCAAAACGTAAAAATAATCCTATATTAGATATGTTATTAGCAGGAGGTATTCTGCTAGAAATCACCCAGTCAAGTTTTTTAATTACATTAGTTGTCCTTGATGAGGCTTTAGGTGCAGTCAATAACTTAAGCAAAGTCTTACAAAAAGAAAATTTACAGCTATCATCATTACCAGTTTTGATTTCTTCTTCGATTGGTCATCTTAAAAATATTTCGGATCAGTGTTCATCAATTGACGAAAATAATTCAATTCATACATGTATAAATACATTAAAAAAATATGTATGTAGTTCACGACAAATAGTTGAAAATGAAAATAAAATGAAAAGTCTAAAAGCAGCTAAACAATTTGTTGATACAATGATAGAACAAATGCAATTACGTTTTAATGAAAAATCACTGGAAATAATTAAATTAAGTGCTTTATTTGAATCATTTGAATCTTTAATTAAAATCGTTGAAGAAGATATATTGAAAATTTGTTTATATTTTCCTAGTCTTGAACCAACCAATGTTTGGATAGACTTGAATTCATTTAAGTATGTTGCAAATAGTTTGATAGAAGAAAATGTAAAAAATCCACTGTCATATATTTATAAAGCAAATATTGGGTATGCAAATTTGAAAAAACTGGCTGAATGTTTAATGTGTGTACCAGTTTCAACGGCCACTGCGGAGCGCTCTTTCAGTACGATGAATAGGATTATGAACAAAATAAGAAATCGAATGGGACAAGAAACTTTGCAATCCTGCATGAAAATTAGCACAGAAGTGCCCTCAGAACTCGATGAAGATACTGTGAATGAGGTAATTTATTTGTACGCACGTCAAAAACAGCGCCGGATTCGTTTAATTTAACTTAATAAACATAATAAATATTAAAATATATATGACTTAAGCTCATAATGGAGTACTATTAATAATGTAAAATGTGTAAGTAATGTATAAGTATTGTATATTTGTATGTATAGTAAATGTCTGTTATATTTTTTTTCATACAATTAATCAAAATTAGTTTTTTTTAAGAATTTATGTATTCGTAAGTAACCTTCTAATACCAATAAATTGAGCTTAAAACGATATTTTCACTTCCCTTAATTATTTACTTCTAAGGCATACCCCCTTGAAAATTTACGATACCCCCCCGGGATAGAAGGTCTGAAATAAACACTGACGGCGGTGCTCCATCTTGTTTAAAAACAAACTCATCACTATCCGCTTGTAACTGTGGAAACAACCATGTTTGCAACATGTTTAGGTATGTGTTACCCGTTACTGTGTTTTCTTCAAAAAAAATGAACCGTAAACTTTTTTCTTGGAAATTGCACAGAAAATATTGATTTTTGGTGAATCTCTTTGATGCTCAACAGTTGCATGTGGTTGCTCTAAAGCCCAAATCCTGACATTATGGCGGTTGACTTTTCCACTTAGATGAAATGTGGCTTCGTCCGAAAAAACAATGCATGAGACAAATGACTCATTTTCTTCTTGTTTTTCGGATATGAAATTGCAAAAAATCAATCCTTTTTTGTTTGTCATCCGGTAGGAGGGCTTGTAACAGTTGTATTCGGTAAGCCTTCAATGTCAAACGACGTCGTAGAACACGCCAAACGGTCGAATGTGGGAGATCTAGCTCTAGGCCTGCACGACGTGTAGACTTCTGTGGACTTCGAACGAAACTTTGTCGAACTCGCTCGATGTTTTCGTCAGAGGTACGAGGTCGACCTGAGCGTTTCTGTGCACACAGACAACCACTTTCTTGGAAAGTTTGGTGGAATGCTTTGAGCAGTAGGAGCTTCAGTTCCATAAGTTCTTCGAAAATCACGTTGAACGGTTATCGCCGACTCGCGAACTACGGGAAAAAGTGAAACTGTCGATGCCAAAAGAAAAAAAATATAAATTAGACGAGATAACTTTATAAATGGGTCATGAAGTGGTGAGACTGCCACCGTATCACTGCCAGTATAAACCTATTGAAATGATTTGGGCACAAGTTAAGGGAGAAGTCGCTAAAAAAAAATCATTCCTTCTAAATTGCAGATGTAGAAGTGTTGGTCAATAATGCCTTAGATGCGGTGACGAAAGAAAATTGGGCAAAATGAGGTGAACATTGTGCAAAAATTCAAGACGAAGACTTGGTGAAGGAAGGGATAAAGGAGGAAATTTTGGAACCCATCATTATTACCATAAATCCCGACGACAGTTCAAGTGACGATGACGATGACGACAACGATGACACCTAATGTTGTATAAAACTTTATTATTTATTATTTTTTTGTATGATAATATACCATTTATATTTTATATTTATTAATTTGTATAAAAAATTGCGTGCACTATAATAATACCTATTTTATTTCTTTAAAAATACGTATTTACTAAAATATAAAAGAAAAATATTTTTTTTTTATAATAATATTCGTATAACATGTTTGAAATTAATTTACGCAGCAAATAGTTGTAGAAACCCTGACGAAATTCGGCCACCCGGAGCGTTGGTATCGCGGCTCATTTTTAGCTGGCCGTACTATAATGTAGGTATAAACAAATTGTTTACAAGAAAAAAAATAGTATTCAAAAGTGCCTATGTTATGGAATTCGATTTTTTCAGTGAATAGGGCCTACGGATGGCTTAATCCGGCCCTGGGGGCATCATAAATCAATATTAATAAATAATAAAAACATTATACTCAACAAAGAAAATTATAACTTAATTTTCAACAAATTTAACATGTAAGTAAAAATATAAACAAAAAAAATCATCAGTCTTCGACAAATTCAATACTATTATCAGTGTCATTGTTAATGTGGTTGTACATATTTGAATTTACCATGCCTATCATTGTTTTCGTTATGTCTATTTTATGGCATTCAGATTTCTTAGTAAATTCTTTAGCACACAAAATTCCATTTAAAGTGGCGGTGTTTAAACAATTTCTTTGTTTAGTTTTTATTAGATTAATTTGTGAAAATATACGTTCACAAGACACATTGGATTGGTGCAAAGATAAAACTGTGAGTAAAAAATTAGAAACATCTTTAAACGGATATTTATCATCTTTTTCAAATGAATTGAGTTTTATCCAGAAATCTTCTACATTTAAATTTAAAAAAAGTGCCTTAAACTCTGGCTCAAAACCAACTACATTAAACATCCTCCAGCTAGTATCGATATTTTGATTATTTTGATTAATCCTTGGAAATAAATTAATAAATGTAATTAAAGAAGCAGATCTGTTTTCACTTAGGACTTTTTTAGGTGTAATATTTTCCAATTGTTTTAATACTGGATCATTAAAATGGAATTTGAATATGAAGCTTTTTGATCTGAAAGATCAATTGAACTTTTTCCCTGATTATATTCTAGTACAGTAATTGGTTTTGTTTTTACCTTACGACGTTTTTCAATGTCAATCATTGTATTAGTAGTTTTAGTACTACACATAAGAAGCTCCCTCTTGTCTCTCCATTTCATAATCATGACATTAGTATTGCTACGTAAACTATACGATTCGCCCTTTTTTAATTTTTTTTTAATTATTTCTTTTGGATTGGATTTTCTGTTAGCTCTTAATGTTCCAATAAGATATGTGTTATGTTGTCCAAGTATCTCAGCAAGTTCTATGCTTGTGTACCAATTATCGACAACCATAGTTCTACCAAAATTTAGAAATGGATCAGTCAGTTCAGTTATAATACGCTTTTATGTATTTCAGTGACATTACCATGACAAAATAAATTCGTTTGTCCATGCGATCTCGGATATAACGAATTACTAATTACGATTACGATTCACGTTTGTAGTATCATAATATTGTACTTGTATTATCAAATAATAAAATCATCCAACGTGGTTTATTATCAAAAATTTTCAGTATGCCATAACTCCTTCAAAAAAAATATTTTTCGAGTGCTATCAAAACAGGCGTGTAGTGGACATACTGTATAATTGAATTACATATTAAAAATCCTAATAAATGAGATACTCTATGAGAACTCAATTAATAAAAAAAAGATTGTGTAAAATAATAAAAAATTTAGATATGTCTGTGGCATTAATGTATATAAATTGCTTGTAAAATTGTGTAACCAGATTTAAATAGATAAGGCAAAACATACCTCATTTATCATTAGGACCCGAGCAAGATGGGGATTATAGTACAGATTCCATTGACCATACTACGCAGCCAAAAGACTGTTAACAAAATAGAGGTAACCAGCATTGACCACCTGCTCGAAAGATCACAGAAGAAGAGGATCGCGAAGTTTTAACGGCAAGAGGAGGCCAAGCGAACTAGATACGAGGCCGAACCCACTTGGAACTTACCACCAACTATTCAAGCCAGACGGAGAACATCAGCAACCGGCATGACGTGGAATGACTTCCTAGAACATTGGGAGAAGAATCCTGAAGAGATTAAGCCTCACACACCGGATATTCCAGTCGAAGAGGTCACCACCCTCGAAATCCAAGCGGAAACAGGGTCTTCACCATCACCGAACCCTAGTGAGACTGAGTCAGACCTAGTCGTGGAAACCATAAGAGGGATGGTTACTATGCAGACATTCGTCGGAGCTTACTAGCCGCGCAGAACCACATCAAGAACTTCCAAAGGATCTCCAAAACCCGGATGAAGAGATTACTGCACCGGGAAAAGACTCAGCATGAGAAAATGATGAAAAAACATCAGCGACCATAAGTCACCACTACTTATACAATTAACAGAACAAAATTTTAGTTTTCATTTTTTTTTTTTTACTTTTATCAATATTTCGAGACTCAGCATAGGAACCCTGCAAAAAGAAAAAAAAAACTAAATAAAAAAGGGGACTATGTAATGGAACAAAACCGAGTCACCAAACACGTGGTGCACTCTAGTGGTGTCCCATCACCCAAATGAATACAACAACCGCCGCGCGCTCACGCAGTAATAATACGCCGCCGGCCGACTGTACAACACAGCCTACGCGAATACATCGCAAAACAGATAGCGCTGCCGTGCACCGGCTAGAAAAACGGTACGCCACCCGCTAAGAAAATTGAGTTTCCACCAAGAAAGAAGCAAGGTAGAAGTTCGTGAGAAACAGATTCGTAATCACCGCCTTCCATACTTTAAGTTACGTCCTTACACGGATGTCAGCAATCAACAGCAACCATCGAAAAGAAAGAAAAGTTCAATCATAATTTTGATTAATTCTCATCGGGACCGGCCGCCATGGAACCACAGAAATATAGGCCGCGGGCCACCGATAATAGTCAGTCTTCTCCTCGCTGTAATACGAGAAATCTGGTACCGGACAATATCTAATATTGAAAGACGGACCAATTTTTCGTATTAAACACCAGCACTCTGCCCCGAGACTCGGACGCCGGACGGTAACACCGTAATACGGCGATCCACGTGGTCTTCCCCGGCAAATTCCCTGTCATCCGCCACCGTCCGAGTGTGTAGTGAGACAATATTGTTTACGTGTTATTTTACTGAGCCGCCGCCGTTCGAGTCGAGCCGCCAGTCGAACCTTAACCGCCACAAGTACGTCATTGGTCCGGAAAAACTTTACCGTCAACGTTCCGTCTACAGTCCTACCGCCGCCGTTCGAGCCTGAACCGCCGCGAGTACGTCATTTGTCCGGGAAGATTTACCGTTCTACCGCCGCCATTAGAGCCGAGCCGTCAAATCACCCAAACTTCCGAACCACAACCGTGAGTTCCATGTCAAGCACATTCCCACCCCTTTATGTAACCCCAATAAATATTTTTACTGTACACTCTAACGAGTATAACTTAGATAATTGATATAAAAAGAAAATATTGTAATACGAAACATATTAATTATATCAAACTCAGATAATGAGCATATTGGTTTAAAATATTATATATTAATAAAACAATTAATTACCAACCAATAGCGTTTCATTACATCCATATCTCTGAGGCCTTGGCTTGTGAATTTATCGAGTTCGTGAATTGATTCCAAGACGTTTTTTTGCTATGATTGATGATGTATTTAGCTTTGGCTCTTAACTGTTTTAACTTTATGAAGTTGTCTTGTGAATTGTTTTTTTAAAATGTGTTGAGTGCGTTGTTTTTTTCTTTAATGGCCTCTTTGATTTTCTCGTTCCACCATGGAACTCTTGGTTTTTTAAAATTTGCATTGCTGCCTATTGTTTTTTGAGCTATCGATGTAATGTGTGTTGTAAATTTTTTCGTTTTCATCAATATTTGACAAATCCATGTCCTCTATTATCTTAGATTCTTCTTCTAGTAGTTCTGTAAATAGTTTCCAATTCGGGTTTTTTAAATTCCATCTATGTACTTGGTTATTTTTAACGTCCGTTTGTCTAGTACTCTAGTTAATAATTTAATTTTTATTGGTAGATGATCACTGCTATACACTTCATTTAATACTTCCCACTCGAGTCTTTGAGAGATGGAGGGTGTACTCAGCGAGAGATCTATGTTTGAAAATTTTCCATTGACTAAATTTATGTGGGTAGGGGATTTATCATTTAGTAAAATAAGGTTTTGGGACGTGATTAAATTTTCTATTAATTGGCCTCTATAGTCAGTTGAGTTGGAGCCCCTTAGTATATTGTGGGCATTAAAATCGCCCACAATTATATATGGTTTGGGTAGTTGTTTTGTGATATCTTCTAAATCTGAAACACTGACATTTGTTTGGTTGGGAAGATAGATATTATATATAGTAAGCTTTTCTTTGAGTTCTATTGTGATTGCTATGGTTTCTAAGTTGCTTTTAATTTGGGTTTCCTGAACAGGGATATTAGATCTTACGTATATCGATGTTCCCCCACTGGCCCTGTTTGCTATTATTCTATTTTTGCTGAAACTAGAGTATTATTTTAGTGGTGCTGTGTAATCTTCTTTGAAATTGGTCTTCTGCAGGCAAATTATTTAGGGGTTTAGGTTGTTTATTATAAGTTTGAGTTCGTTTTGTTTTTTGAAGAAACCGTTTAGATTCCATTGTAGTATATTTAAAGGTTTCATTTTTTGATAGATACTGTGGTTTAATTCTAGTTTGATGTCAATTTTCATTGGATTCCGATTTATTCGGTTCCGTAGTTGTTGCTGCGTCTAAGGCTTTGAATATTTTTTTGGTGATGCGGGAAAAATTGTTTCTTGCTATTTTTGTGGTGAGATATGGACGGGTGATTTCGAATATCGTGATTATTTCACTACCCTCAAGGCCATATTCATGTATTATGTTTAATGGGTTGTCTTGTTTGTGAATATCTTCTATAATGTGCGTGAATTGATCAAAAGATATTTTTAATTTCGTTTTGTCATCGAAAAGATGTTTAATCGAATCTAAGTGACTATCTAGGTTTTCGGAAAAACGATTTCTTGAGTTGGAACGTGACCGGTTTTCTGATGGGCTCGGATGATTTGGATCAATTTTATTTTCTACTAAAAGAACTTTTTTGGGGGGTTTTATTATTGTATTGATTTCTTGGCTTGAATCATAACGAGGGCTTGTTGGATTTGAGGGAGTTGTTGTCATTGAAGCCGGACGTTTTAATATGTTAATTGCTTCTACTGGTGTTCTGGACGCATCCATGTTTATATCGGTAGGGATTTCGTCCAAATTAGGACTTATAGGAGGGAGGGTGTCCTCTAACATTTCGGTTTGTAAGCTTGAGTCAATATCCCAATTTGTAGAGCTTGCGCTCTGGTTTTTTATCATGTTGTTATCGGGGTTTTTGATGTATTTCTTGCATGAAAGTGTGGTGTGACCTGACGTTTTGCATGTATAGCAGGTTATTCTATCATCCGTAAAAAATATTCTAAAGTTGGTTTCGTCGTGGTTAATAACTAGTGATCCTGGGAGCTTTGGAATGTCGTTATCGTTAATATACATTTGTCTACGAAAGCTTAGGACGTGTTCGTATCCTTCCATGACTACGCCTGCTTTAATATAGTTTATTTGGGATGTAGGTATGATGTTGATATCTTGTAATGCAGCAAGAATTTTTTCGTTTGGAATGGATGGGCAAACGTTTGAAATCACTATTCTTTTGGCGGTATTTATAAGTCTGCGAATTTGTATTGTGTTATCATTTATTGTGATAAATTTGGTTTTTTCTACAAGGGAGTCTACAGTGTGTTTATTGTTTAGGAATATGCAAAAACGATTGTTGGAGATTCTAGAAACAAAAAGTATATTTTTTGGTGACACTATTTGTCCTATTGCTCTTATGTAGTCTATTTATGGTATGCCTTCTATTGAATTAAAAATAATAGCTTGGTCTCTTTGCGGATTGTTCTCTTTAGCTGTTGCCGTGGCGTAATTAGGTTTTGGATTAGATACGGTTGTTTGTAATTGTGTGGAGTTTTTATCTACGGGCTCATTAGCGCATGCAGTGTTATCTGGCATATCGCCGCTCATACCGTCTTTATCTGAGGTGCGTGTTGTGTGGTTTGTGTCGTTTGATTTTTATCTTACCCGTCGTAGGGATGCGTGATCCATCACCGACGCGATTTATTTTTTGTGTAATGTTTGATTTTGGGATGGCGTTTGGTTTATTATTGTGGATTTTAGTATTTTTTGGAGATGTTTTTAGTGATGTTTTTGGTTGTGACGGTGCAGGCACGAGGCCTGGTCGTCTATTATTGATCATTTTGTATTACTCTAACTATATGATGTATATGTACGGTTCATATTACCTGTTCGTCGATGCTCGTCGTAATTGCACTATGCTATCGGGAGCTGATAAAAACGCACACGCGATCGTAAGAGGTACACACGTGTTTCACCGTCGGGAGTTAAACACGTACTGGTGTTAGTTTTGATACTAGAGTGAATTGACATATTATAAAACTTTTAGGTCAGAACATTACATGTACTTAAGCTTTGCCGATTTTTCAAAATTTGCATTTAGAGATATGGGTATGTGAAATATTAAAAATGCTCATATCTCGCTTGAAAATTAAAATATCGAATAAAAGCCAACGCTTAAGCACAGATAATGTTATTATCTAAAAAAATAATAATAGTTTAAATCACTCTAATATCAAAACTAACAGCACACTATTGAAACTAGTGAACGAAAATTTGCTATGTCGTACGTGCATAAGACGGCGAAAACAAATGCCCCTAAATAGGAATATATATAATTAGAGAAACAAATATTAAATGCTTAAATATTCATTATAAAAAGAAACAGAGACCAATTCAATTCAGTATATTTATGGACACTTCTGGGAACTGACCAAATATAAAAACAAAAAAATTTTGCTCCTCTTTCTTAAAAAAAACGCTTTCCATTGAGATAATTTGTCTATGTGTATACTATTTTACCCATTTTGTCTATAGGTCATACTCTTACCATTTACCAACCACTCATTTCATAGTAACACCTGATTACTCTGTTAAGTATTTCTACATATTCCTATTATTAACTATAAAAAATAATTATTTGAAATAATAATTTCATTACAATATAAACTTATTAGTTGTGTAGCTTAACTTTTTGATGAAAAAAGTTTGAAACTTCAAAACACCTAAAGAAATATTTTAAATTATTATTATTGGAAAAATAAAACTAAGTACAAAACGTTATTAATATGTTTTCCTACATGATCAAAATGTAATTTTATTTACCTATATTTTTAAGTTCATACTAAAGTGACAAAATTTAAATTAATTTACATGTATTAACCCATAGTATTTTTATAAAAACAAAGTACAATTTCATATACTTGTCAATTCACCAAAAAAAGAGTATATCTTGTCACTGCATATTATAAATTTAAAAATAATTATAATTATAATTTTAAAAATCTTAATTTATTTTGCTGTTCCTTGAAAAAATTGTAAAACCTTTTTATTGTATTATTATTTATTTCTACAACAGAACACTAATAACAATGAAGGATCATCTTAATTCTTAGTACATACTACATAGTAAATTTATACAATATAGATCAACTTGACCATTTTTTTTTTTTAACTAAATGAATTAAAATTAAATTAAATTCTTTATAAATAATAAAATAAAACACTCTGTATTGAAAAATCATTACAAAATTAAATAAAATGTTTGTTTAAAATATTGGCTTAGGGACATAATCTTTATTAAGTATATAAGTTAAGTATAAGTTAAGTATATAAGTTGGCTTGCATGTTCATTGCTTAATGATGATCTGAGATCTGTTAAAATACAGCCACCTTCGCTGAACACACGTTCAGATGCTACACTTGTAGCTTGCACTGTCAAACATTTTTCCGCTAATAAAGACAACATTGGATATGTATCTTTGTGCATTCAATTGGTAATGAAGTGACATGTCATTGCGATAAATGGTTTGTTTGAACTCGAAGTCCAGCAAATAGGGCTGTACAACTTTGGACCATCCAACTTAAAAATTATTCCTGCTTAACTATGAGGCTGCTATTGTTTTTACTTAGATTGCAAAAAGTTGTCAATTATTTTAAGACCTCAGGGAAATAACAAGACCTCTCCAATTAATACAATTGTTCAGGTATCACTTTAAACTGTTTTAAAAATTAACAATAAATATATTTAGTTTCATCTTCAATTCGTTTAAGTAGTAACCAGTAACAAATTGTCAAAATCAAAAATAATACTAGGAGAAGTATTGTTGTTGCACTAATATATGATATAGGTACATATATTTATTAGATATACCTATTTGTTATGAGTAAGAATTAAATAAACTAATGTTATTATATGAAAAAAATTTAAATTTACTTACACATCATTGCACATTGGCCTACATCATTATACATTTATACCTACACTTATTTTCAAAGTATAAATACTATTAACGTATGATATCAACCACAAAAAATAAAATTAGGATATTTGTTGCTCTGGTCTCTGAGGTCTTCAATATTGTTAAAATAAGAAGAAAAAAAATATTGTACGGCTCAGTGAAATATTGGCCTCTCAAATTTTGGTAAATCGATTTCAGTAAAAATATAAATGCAAATTGTTAACTTACTCAGCGTCGTTATCTGCTACTTCAAGATGATCAGCAGCTTCAGGACCAGATACTCCTCTTCGAAGTCGATCTAGTTCGATATATTTTTTTTTTGTGTTTAAATTTCAAATGGTTCCATATATTGGTTGTATTTGAACCGGAGTTGACGTATACTCCAGAACACTCTTTACAAATAGCTTTAATTCCATTTTCATGTTTAGTGAAAACTTGCCACACTACACTCATCTTGATTCTTGACAACAGTTAGTTCGTTTAACGAATCCTGTTAAGTTAATAAGTAGGTATGTAATTATTAGTTATGTTTAAATTAAGATACGAAGGAAAATAAATAATATTTAGGTTTATAAGCTATCGGCTATAGGTACTTACCTTTTTTGACTATAAAATAGTGAAGTTAATACTCATTGGCCGTCACCGTCGTACTAAGCTAAACGTGCTCACAAATAACAAATCACAAATAAAATGTGCGTCCGTTCAATTCAACATTTGTGAGATGAACAACAACATATATATATAGACGACGGTTTATTAATAATAATTCAATCAGATTTTAAAAATAAACACAAGACTTGTCCATGTTCATATTATTATAATAGTGGTAAATGAGATATTTAAGCTATAAATATAAATACTCCAATAACAATACCGTGGACCGTGACCGCTAACGAGAAAATTTTATACTTTTATGTTGGGTATATTCGTAAAATATTTTTCACTATAATTTATAAATAAATCTCAGTTTATTTTCGATTATTAATTTTCGATTATTCGATTATTTATAAGAAAATCGATTAATCCAATTTCAATTATATCAATTATTTATAAAGTATGAAAATAATCGATTAATCGATTAAAATGATCGATTATATAAAATAACAGCGCAGCCCTAGTATGGACTATGTACTGAGGTCGAGCCAACACTCGTAGTCGAATATCCGTGGTTTGTATCAATTATATTATGCAGTGAAATATTATAACTTCTTTATTATTATTTTTCATTATTCATATTTAATAAAATTGTAAAATACTAAATTAATGTAAAATACATATATCTAAAAAAAAGATCGTATTCTTTACAGGGGCGGACTGGCCAGGGGGGCTTGGGGGTAATATCCCCCTGGGCCGGTCTAAATTGTGAAATTTGGGCCGGTCGTCCAACAATAAACTTCTAATATATTTAGTCAAGTAGTCAACTAATAAATAATAATTAATAATATATTTCTATTAGTCATTGACATGCGATCAATTTCCAACTGGTTTGTATTTAGACTTAATAAATAATTGCGGATCTATTCTTTACTCGTTTACTCTATTACTATATTCTATGTAATATAAATGTATGTAATTAAAAATCATTTATTATTTTTGTTATCGATGAAACTAACATAATATTATGTTCATAAGATAAATAAAGGAAATTGTATTTTATAAAGGTATTTATATTTTTTTTAAATAGTTCTTCAAGTAAAATTTACATTTATTTTAAATTATAGTAATAAAACATTCATAATATTTATAAAATCACAACTGAAATAGTAATAATATAGTAAAATATGTAGGGCCGCTAAGCTATATTTCCCCCTGGGCCGACAATCTCCCAGTCCGCCCCTGATTCTTTATCCCTATTCTTTGTTTGATGGGGGATCGTACCTGTCTCTAAATTATCGTATTTCCCCACCAAGATCGTACCGTTTGGCACTTTGGCAGCACTAAGCTACTAACGCTAACCAGTCACCTACTACGACCAGAGTCGGAGAGCGGACAATGATGATTTGGTGGGCTTGTTGGGCTTCCTTATATGTTATTCTGGGGTTTGCTAAATAGTGTAAAGAACCTCCGGTTCCCCTATCATTACCATGGTCTTATTGACGGTGTGAAATCAGTTTCTGCGGGCAACACGCTCTATTGGCCGTAAAGAGTAGTCGAACGTGCTGCGGGAGTAATATTGTTGATCGGCGGCGAGTCGTGAGAGGTGTGCGAACATTTAGCATTTCATGTTCGTTACAACATATATGTGCTGTCAGTTTGGAATCTGTCTAATTCATTTGAAACAGATATAAGTTGGTCTTGTAATTTGAGTGCTTTTTTATAAATGTCAAAGTTATTTAATATTTTTTCAATGTTATTAACAAAATCATCATTATCAGTAGAAATTTGTCGGTAAAAATGGTTATTTGAAACAAATGTTCTAACACATGCAGAATGAGAACTCCATCTGTTTCATTTGGAATTTGTGGCATGAGCCCTTTCTGTTCTCTGAGCCAGCAATGGGCCTGATGCACAATTATCAAATATTTTTGTACTTCTACAATCTGTTTCATAACCGTTTTTGGAGTTACTTCTTTTTCAATCAAATTCACATAATGCGCAGAGAAACCATAAACAACTAAATCCGGACATTGTACTTGAAACAATTGTTCATTTTATTTTTAATGTCGGTAACTATAGCAAATATATTTTTTGGATTCTGAGTGGAGCGAGGAAGCTAGTGATTTTACAATGGTGTTTATTTTTTTTTTTTTTTATATATCCTGTATACAAAATATCTACCAGAATGAGTGCTTTGATTTCAACGTATAGTACCTTATCATATAGCAAATTGTATCAATATGGTACTTTAAAAAGGTAATTTTTCAATTTTCTCAATAGTTATTTAATGTCACAGGAAAAACCACCGACAAATTACGAAAAACCACTAAAAAAGGAATTTTTATTTCCAACGCTTTGTTTATCAACATAGAAACGAATAAAAAATAATAATACCTATTTTAATTATACTTTTATTATACTTTCACGACAAAAAAAATGTCCATGATATCAACAAACATATTATTATAATATAAGCATTATAATAAAATATATACGCACATCTTACCATGCCCCTACGGCTCGCCCCGTGCGCACGCCTATGATTTTTGTGTAGTCATGTTTAGAATGTACAGTCTAATCTATATAACAACAGTGGCTATCTCAATTAACTTAAATGTATAACACTGGCTATCTAAACCACATTTTTGGCAAATCATTTTTCGGTGTGTTAAACTAAAATATTTTACAAAATTAATAGTATTGTAGTAAACCGACAGAGTCGCTTTCCTATAATTATACATCATAAGGACTTTGCACTATATGATATATTGATCAACGACTATACCACGCCCCGAGGATTTATTACATATTTAAAAATCGCATAACGATTTCTAATAATACATATTGCCAAATAAACCAGTTCACAACTCAAGGTTTATTCGACAACTTTTAACATTTACGCCGGTACCTTGCATACCGCCGGTATTCCTTTGATCCACCTCCGAGTCTCTACCGTGTACCTAATAACCTAGGGAGACTTTGTATATATACGAGTCTCCGTCTGTATCTAAATTAGAATTAGCTCAGTGCTAGTACGACGTACATACTTGTAAGTACTTAGTATTAACCACTAATCTCTCGGGCAGACGCTTATCGCTCTGTCCTCAAATTTCTATATTCAAATGTAATACCATTATATTATTATTAACTTTAAAATAAATTCCTTAAATTATAACGTTGTAACTTGTAACTCTGCAACCTTTTCTCCTACTCAATCATCAACGTCGTCAAACTCAAAATATAAGCGTTAGTGAGGGACCACTACAGTATGTTATATCTCATCCTAAAATAGATGTGCTAATTTAGTTCAAACATCAATACCAACATGAAATAATAACGGAAATACGCTTACCTTCACCGGAACTCATTTTTACAGCTGGCGTAGACCTGATAAACACTGAGATAGCCACTGTTGCCAAAACAATTTAGATAGCGACTGTTATCGTTTTTTCGATTAGTGCGTTATCTATTATTTTTATCCTACATTTGATACCATCAGTCGATTCGGCGCGAAATTTTGAATAAGACAGTGTTGCTAACTCAATTTGACCAAAATGTGAGATATCTGGTGTTGCATCTTAAGTGACGATATATAAATGAATGACGGTGTGTAGATTAGACCTATGGGAAGAAGATACGCTAATTTAAAAAGGATTAAATTTGGTTTTTTTTATTCATCGGATTTTAGTACGGTTATGTTAAGTTAGGATTTATAGGTAGGTGGAATTAAGTAAAAACGTCAAACTTGGTATAACTTTGGTACTTTTTGAGTTATATCATACACTTACGTACAAACATCACGGGGTCCGCGATCTACCGCAGGTAAATTACCTATCTGATAATGTACTGCTGCAATTCAGAATTTTTATTCCGGGCAACAGAAAAGTTAAGATAAATCTAGAACATCATACACCGAATATTAAATAACACATTGAACAATGTTTGAGTCATATAGAGTTGGTACATTTAACGGGAAACGAAGTGCACGGGATCAACTAGTTTATATATAAGATATATTTACAAAAAATAATAATACAAATCAACAAACATGCCCGATTAACCAATAGCAACCAATATAATATAATACACAATAGAGTAAATAAAGACAACGGTATCGAGTTCAAATCCCAGACATCAATAAATAGTTTTTGCAGTTTTTCTAATTATTCGGTTGACTTTTTAAAAATTTTATTTCGTAAAAACCTTCACCTGGCAATTACGAACATCTTAAAAAAAATTTGAGCAAAATCGGCCCAGCCGTTCTCAACTGATGCAATTTCGAATTTTTTGTCTCCATTTTTATATATATAGATTATATACTTACATTTGTATAGATTTAATTTTTGTTTTTAAATATTTGAATAAATAGTTCCAGCGAATAAGTAAGTAACTGCATTTTATTGTACTTATAGAACGTCTTTGATTGTTTGATGCTACTATCAGTTTCTCGAAGAAACACAAAGAAAGTGATGACAACTTGAAAAAAAAAAATATGAAAACAGGATACGACCTTCTTCGCTGCAGGGGGCGATTACAGCCTAAAGTCCTACCTAAAAAATTACTTTGTTATAACAATACTTAGTGCACTTCGTTGCCCTTTTAAAAATACCAACGCTATATGAATACCTAATATCTGGATTACCCGTCATTTCCGGGTTTAAGTATAAAAAATGTCTACAGCCCAACTTTAACGGGACGGCCGCAGACCAAGACAGACAATTAATTTTAATAGGTATATAATAAAGTAAAATAATAATAATAATAATATAGTTTTATCTGTAAGAGGACATTTTGTAGTTGCATCCTTCTGAGAAATATCTATTGAGTATCCATCTTCTCCATAGCAAAACATTATAGGGTATTGAAGAGCGTCGTAGGATCTATGTAATTCAGTTATTCGTTGTAATCGATTATCGTGGCTTTGAATAATAATATCACGTTTTTCAAACTGCTGCCCAACTATAACTAAAGCTACTTCATTAGTAGTTGCAGCACTGTAACAGCCTTTGTGTCCATTAGCAGGTTTTCTATCAGCGTGAATAACTACTTGAAAATTACTAATTAGTATTATTTTTACTTGCATTATCTATTGTGGTTTTTAATTCTCGAATATACTTATTTTCAGTATTCAGCATATTTTGTAGCTGTTTGACTAATGCTTGTTTAACTTCTGGATAAAGAGAGCATCTAAGTTTAACTTCTTTTTCGTCTTCGCCAACAAAATATATTTGTAAAAATTGTGGGTTTTCCTGAGTATTTGGAATCAAACTGCCGTACTAATGGTACGGACCCTGACATTTTGGCGTGGCCATTTTGGCGTGGCCACTTTGGCGTAAACCAATTTGGCGTATGACTATTTTGGCGTAAAACTATTTTGGCGTAAGACTATTTTGGCGTTAGATTTTGGCGTAATAAAATATTTAATATTATATTACTATATTTACTATGTAAACTACAAAAGCAGACTGATATATCTGTCGTCTGTGCGTGTATGTTGCGGGTAATCAGTTATCAGTAATCAGTTGTCATAAAATTTAATATTTACTAATCAGTTGTAATCGACAATGGCTCAAGTAAAGAGCATTTGCGGTCGAGAAATATACACCCACGATGGATATATGTACACATTTGACGCATATAATTTTAATAAAACAAAAAAATTTTGTAGATGCCGATACAAAAATGATTGTCCTTGTCGTATTCATACGTCAACTGAAACGTCCAAGGTAAAAATATTTTTACTATTCAATAAATTTATGTATATATGTTTTAATTAATAGTTATTTAAATAATAATATGGAAAATATTATAGGTGTTAAAGATCCTCCGAAAAAGAAAAAAAAATTTATAGATGTCGACAAAAGAATTTTGAAAATTGTAGAAGATTACAACAATCGCAACATGCTTAGTTTTTTAAGGGGAATAGCTCAAAATATAAGTTGTTACTAAAACTTTCAAAGTCAATTACATTTTATTTATATACATTTATATTTATATTTTTTATTTATATGAACTAACCTAACCTAAAGTAAATAACTTTTTATTACCTAATACATTTATATCAATTGAACCTACTCAAAACTAAAACTTTCAAAGTCAATTACATTTTATTTATATACATTTATATTTATATTTTTTATTTATATGAACTAACCTAACCTAAAGTAAATAACTTTTTTATTACCTAATACATTTATATCAATTGATTTTTTACTCAACCTACTCTATTAATTATTATACATGATTATTATATTATTATTTATTATTTATTATATTACTCGTATAGGTACTAATCATATTAGTCCAAAACGCCAAAATAGTCTTACGCCGAAATAACTATACGCCAAAATTGACATACGCCAAATTGGTTTACGCCAAAGTGGCCACGCCAAAATGGCCACGCCAAGATGGCCACACAAAGATGTCCTAGATCGCTAATGGTAGACTTGGCCTTGCACTTTAAATGTTGGCATAAAACCTTCTTCAACAATCTGTTTAGCACCAAACGAAGTCATTTGAAAACAACTATTATATTTCCTAGTACGATTAACGAAGTGATCATGATCAGGATGGTCTCCTCAAGTGGTCCCTCAAGTAAACTGCGTAATGGTTCTGGGGGCGGCTGTAAAGTATCGAGTTGTGTTTTACCTACATTACAGCACATACCTTTCCACTTGAGAGCGTTAAAAAAATTACATTTTTGGTTCATAGTGCCAATGTTATTTTTATAATCAATTGTGGGATTATATGCTGGGCCAGATAATTTCTTAATTTTCCAATTGATTAAATTAATTTTAGGCAAAACACTAAAGTTTCTTGGTGTTTGTTTGCTTTGTACTTTGTTTTAGCTTTCTTAACTTGGTTGATTCGAGTCTTATCCGTATATCTAGCACCGCGACGCTTTTTACTTTTTCGCTCTCTGAAGTAGTTATTAAATTTACTGCAACATTATGAATATTAGGAATAGATAAATAAACATAAAAATGACCACTATTAATATTTCCAATCTTTTTACTGGGAATGTATCTACACCAAATTTGACATAAAGATTATTATTATAATACATTTGAAATAAATATGGGAAAATATTTCCAGCTGCAACCAATTCGCAATAACTACCGCAGTCAGTGATTGACCATTTCACGAACATAAGCCTCAGCAGTGGAAAAGTTGTCACCATTTGAATTGTAAGACATAGTAATAAAGTTATTCTAATTATCAGACACATAAGTAACAATTGTATTCCGGATCTCCTGACATTTTTCTTGAGTGTTAAACAAATGAAATGATATTGAACGGAAAAGGCAGGCACCATCACCGATAATTTGTACAACTATTTGGGGTGTCAACATTCCATTGACAAAAATATCTTCAATCGATGACATTTTTAAAAAAAATATTCAAACAATTAAATTCAATAAATATAATATTTTAAATAATTATCCAACGTATTCCGGGTAATATAAACAAAAAAAGAAAACAAACATGCCCGATTAACCATAGATTATACTGTATTAGCCAGTACATCGAGCTGATGTATAAATTGCCATAGAGATGTCTAAATTGTTATTACTATATCAATATAAATTATTTTTATTTTTATTTCACTCATTTTAATACCAATATTGTATATTTAAATTAAATATTGCTTGATAGATGGAGCCACTGTCGTATTCTTTCAACCCCACTTTTACCCCCTTGTAGGTCGAATTTTGGAAAATCCTTTCTTAGCGCGCCCCTACATTGCTTAAGGAACCTCTATATAAAATTTCAAGTCTCTAGACCCAGCGGTTTGGTCTGGGCGTTGATTCTTGGTAAAGTACATAGATATAGAGTTGTTGTTTTTAGTTTTTTGCAACTTAATAGTCTGGAGAAAAATCATGATATTATTTATTTTTTTGTGTTACCTAATCTATAAATCACATAATTTTTTTTAAACAGGTGTACTAAAATACGCATTATATGTTATATACTGTTATCATTTAATTAAAAACAAATAATATGCAATGAACATTAAAGTTATTTTACTAAGTTTTATTTTTTGTTTGTTATTTATTGTATATCTAATATCCATGTAATCATTTTACTAAAAGTGTTATCCAGAACAAACAATTTGGAGATTTTGATTCAAATATTTTAATTTAATTTACTAGTTTCAAATTAATTATCCTGTTTCATGATATATAGTGTTATTATATTCAGTTTAAGGAGGGGGGCGAAACCCTTTTTATGCAGCCTTTGCAAATTATGATATTACTAGCTGTTACGGCAGTGCTTTTCTATTGCTGGGTTTTTGTGATTGTTCAACTTCTTATAGGTGATTCGTTTGTGATTATCCGAGCAGTATATTATCAAGTAGGAAATCTACCTGTGGTAAATATCGGATCCCGCGTGGTGCGTACGCAATGCATCACTTAACTCTGAAGTAAATTAGTCCACCGAAACCGTGGTTCGAATTCTGTACTAACACTGGCTTATAATTATTATTAATAAAACCAATAGCAACCATTTATAAACAAAAAAAATAAATCTCAAAATCTTTTTATATATCATTTTTCATTGATGTTCCTCTACCATTTGTCGTAGTGTAATTTTATTTGGCTATAGCCTTCCTCGATATATGGACCATCCAACACAAAAATAATTTTGTGGAACTAGTAGTTCCTGAGATTAGCGTTTTAAATAAACAAAATATTCAGCTTTATAATATTAGTATCGATTATAATATTTTAAAACTGTTTAAGAGAACTTTTCACTTATATTTAAGTTTTAATTTGTATAATATAACCGTATGAATATTTTCAATATTGTTGAGTATAAAAAAAGCAACCAAAATATTACAGCAGAATATTATAGGAACATTTCTGTAACATTTATGTGCATTAATTAAAATGTTATTGAAAAATTATTGTTAAGTAATCAATATTCTAAAGAGATTCTAAGAACATTTAATTGCTGTCTCTGATAGTATCAATTTTATCTGATTTAATATCAGGTCTTCGTAAATTAAAAATAAATATATCTACCTAAAATAATTAAAATACTGTATTATACAATATTGTTGCTAAGAAATTGATTTTAACTATACTAAACATAACAATATATTACAGTTTATTTTGTTATAACATATGTCCTAATATTTAATGTTATAGTATTTATATCTTAATATTTTATCTTAATGATAATTGTAGTTCTATAATCCTGCTTGATTAAATTAAATAATACCCTTATGCAACATGTTGATGCTAGATGATCATAAGCGACAAAATGATCTGGTTGAATTCGTTGAACATTTCAGTGAATCGAAAAAAGAAATTAAAGCAACCAAAGAACCGAACAAATTACAGAACAAATGTGTGTGTTCGAAAAGATATTTTAAAAAATGGGAAAATACATTGAAATTAAAGTACATTGCGAAATTGGCAATTCCAAAACCAGTTCGGCTTAGGCCTTGGCCAAATCCAGAGTTGGAAGCAGAATTGCCATTACCAGTAAACAAGGCCACATTAACTGGTAAAATCCCAAATAGGATATACAAATTGGCAGTACCTAAAATTAGACATAAGGTGCCATTGGACCTAGCTTATCGAACGTTCTCATCAGGCGATACAATGTATAAATACAGGAAATCAAAACATCAGCTAAAAACTCGTACAAGAATTCTAGAGCTTGCAGAACCGAAACCTAAGATTAGGCATGTACATGCTAGATGTCTATCTGAACATCCGGAAAGACTTTATAGTAAACCTAATAAATCTTCGATAAAGAACAATTCAGATGATTGGATTAAACATCAAAAGTGGCTTAAGAAGAACGCAGCGCCTAAAAGAAAATTTAGTAGACCACCTGAGGTTAAAAGACGATCAAAAATGTCGAAATCACAAGCTGATATAATGTTGGATAGACTATCCCGAGTGCCAGAATTCAAACGATTTGTTAAAAAATTGGTTATAAGGACAACTGAACCGAGACCATTTGGTCAAATTACACCGATGGGGCTAGACTGGGTTCAGCGATTATCGGTACCGAGAAAATTATCCTCAGAAACGCAATTGAATCTGGATTATGATCCCGGTGTCATATCTAGGGCTGCCTTAAAAGCAATATTGTCGCCACGTATAAAAGAATTAGCTGAACCAAAATTTAATGTAAAAACGGTCAACACAGAATTCAAAGAAAATGCGTTCAAAATATCACCTACTGCATTGACATATAAAGCCACTAAACGCATTAAAAAATTGGCAATGCCACGACTACATTAAATCATAAGACATTTCTGTAAATATAAATTAACCAAAATTACCATCAGATTCTTTTAAATTAAAGATATAAATTCAAACTTCCATTTAATGTAATTTAATAAAGTATTGAGTATTACATTTATAGAGCAAGAAACACAGTCGGTGGCTGACCTGTACACAGGGGTGTGGCAATACCAGGGGTACGACACTCGGTGAATTGGTCAAATCAGGCGATTCTCGCCTTAAAGCACGGTCTCCAGGGGGCGTGACATACGTAAAATAGGGAATGGTAAACAAGCCGACCCCGCGCAGCGTCTCCTGCCAACGTTCCGGTAAACGTTAACATAATACGGATGACCTTGGGTCTAACATGTTGGTCCGTTTCCATGTTTTTCGGATATTCAAACGTCAGATCATAGGTAAACAAGACCACAATCAACTGATCGAGTATAGCTTCTACATTGTTCTATGGAAATACTACAGGGCAGGTATTTAGATAGTTTATTCGATGGTGGTGACAAACGGCCAACGGATGTGCCTGACTGGTGCTGCCGACTGTGTTTCTTAACTGTAACAGAGTATATATCTGTATTGACCCTAGTGGTCCCTATTTTGTGGTGGTGATAGCAAACCTTTATAAAAAAAAAAACTAATAATCTAGCATCTGTCAACCTGGGTGACATGAAACGATGTTAATATTATTTTTTTAATCCAGGGCTGAAAAGAAATATTACAGATATCTGCAAAAATATAATTTGATATCGTGTATAAGATCCTACATACTTGATTCGTGGTGAAAAACTTTAAACCCAAATTTGATAAGAAAAAAAATTAAAAACTGTTGTTTCAAGTCACTAGAAAATTTAAGTTTGAGGAGTAACTTTTAAAATCCAAATGGGAACCTATATTTTTGAAATATGATTCGTGTGCAGTTAAATTTTTAATGAATTTTGACATTAGATTAATATGTTAATAATTTAAGGAACTTTCGACATCTGAATATTGGTGTTAATTTATAAAATGTAATCAGTGAATAATATTAAAAAGTGCTTCCGTTGTACGACCTTAACAATCTGGGTATTAGAATTTAAGATAATAATATTATGTATAATCTAAGACCGTGATAAAAGTGTTTTGAAATAGCAAATATTTTTATCAATGATATAAGCATGGGCTGATATATAATGGCACAGAATAACCAGAAGGCTCACTTTTTTAGAATTACACAAGTTCTTAGGGGGATAAATTTGCTACCCCTGTCGAGATATCAGTGTAGCTTGTATAGAGATAATAACCAATTGTACATCCACAGAATATTCTGTGGTACCATATAACCACAGAATAGATGAAATCAGAATGGACACTCTCCAAAAACCATGATAAGAACTAAAGGGCCACCAGTGTAGCCATGTAATAAAACTATTTTTATTTTCTGTTTATGTCGCAAAAGACCACTCTGAGCATCCGCTTTATTCGGATTTGTTTGTAAA